AAATTAAATATGAACAATACCATAAAATAATATCTATCCAAAAATAAATAAATAAACAAACAAAAAAAATCACAAATGAGGAATATTAATTGAAATATAAATTTAAAATATATTTTAAAATATATATATATATATATCAATAAAAAAAAATATAAAAAAATTATTTGTTGTTGTGGCTTAACTTGTTAAATTCATAACTCAGAACATAAACTCAATCGGATTCAATATTATCTTTCTTTTAAATTCATATTCAACCTTTAATAAAAAAGAAATTAACATGTAATCTAGAACATGAACTCAACCAATCTCTATACTGTTTTCTCTTAAATTTATATTCAACATTTAAATACAAATGCATGCAACACTATCAAAAAACAATTTATATTAAAAAAAGGTTAAATAAACAAAATAAATATCAAATAAGTGATATTAATTAAAAAATAAATTGAAAATTATCTAAAAAAAGATATATAAAAAATATATCAATAAAAAAATACAACATTAAAAAAAAATTATCTAGTTATTGTGGCTTAACTCGTTAAACCTGTAACTTAGTTCGTGAATTCAACTGGGTTCAATATTTTTTTCTTAAATCTTTAAAAAATTAAATATATGACCCAGATCATGAATTCAATAAAGCTCAATAATTATTTTTTCTTAAATTTATATTTAACTTAAAAAAACAAATTTAAAAATTTAAAATACACAACACCATAAAAAAACTCAATCTTTATAATAAAACCTCAACCGGGTTGAATTTTTTTTAAAAACAATTGTACTCAACCTTTAAAAAAAATACTTGTGATGTAGATTATACACTTAACTGGTTTAATATTTTACTCCCTTTGAATTTATAACAAATCTAATAAATAAATAAATAATATCGTCTATAGTATTCAACTGAGTTTAATATTAATTTTTTTAAATTCATAATCTACCTTGAAAAAAAAAACTTGTAACCCCATTGTGTACTGAACCTTGCACGGTGTTTTTCCCATGAAAAAAAAAAAAAAACAGATTTGTTAACATTAAGTTCTGAAAGTCGATATTTCTGCATTCCCAGTTTCATTTACTTGAAATGGTTGATAAGTCGAGCTACACACACAAAAAAGAAGAAGTAATTATTACCTTTTCGATCCAGATGAAATCTCAACTACACTGAGAATATCCATCCATCTTTGTACCTTCTCCTCGTTTTCCCTGAGATTTTTTCCAATCTTATCAAAGACAATCGTGTAACTCTCTGTTTGATCATCTATCTTTGATTGTTTGACATCACAAGAAACTGGAAACACAGTGTCCGATCTCATCTCATCCATGAATCCGACAATCTTGACAAGTTCTTCAAAGCACCAAGGTAAAGAAGCACAATCTCTTGCAAATATAATAATTGACAGCCCTGATTCTTCAATGGCCTCAAAGAGTATTGATCTCATTGCCATTACTTTCTCTGCTTCCTCCCTGACTGGGCCAATGAATCTCAGGGCTCGATCTGAGACTCTGATGTCAGGGAAAACTTTGGCCTTCCATTGATGGTACGACGAAGAAAAAGCTAAAGAATCTTTATATGATGAAGCTGCTTCTTTTCTTGTAACAATAAAATGGGCAGAAGATAGTCGTGGTGTAATATATACTGAAGATAACAAACAGACACCACAATTCTTCACCTTTACTCCTGGCTGGAAAGAATGAAATGACAACTCAATGTTGCTAAAGGATTCATGCTTCCATTCTTTAAGCTCTTTAAGATGATCAAAAGATAGATAGAATAGCCAAATATGATCTGACAGAACTTGGATAGAGTTACAACTAATACACATCGGCAAAGGATAATTCTCTCTTCCATTGGCTTTGAAATGACAAGAAAGAGAAGGACTTTCACCATTTGGACTGAATGCAACACAAGCAACAAACCCCATGCTCCAACCAGGCACTTGCACACTAATTGAAGACCCCTTACTTTGATGGTTAAACCAGCCTGGAATTTCATTTCCTGGAACAGCGATACCAAATCCAGGTCTTGGATTACACAAACCCTGTACCATGAAAAACCAAAATGTTAGATGGAGAGAAGGAGAGGGAGAGAGATACAGAGAGGTTGGGGTATGATTAAGAGAAGACCTGGAGATAATTTGTTTTTCTGAATCAGCTCTTTTTTTCTTTTTCATTTGTTTTTGCCATGAACATATTTACGATGAAATCTAATGTTTAAATAAGTATTTTTAATATATAATAATAATAATAATAATAATAATAATAATAATAATATTCTAGAAAAAGATACTTTAAAATGTAAATTATACATGTAGCAAAAAATAAAAATTATTAACCTCTATTCTGAATGTTTTATTATGTAATTATAGTCTATAAATCTTATTCTTATGTAAAGAGATTCTAATAGCATTTAATGTTTTATTATATAATAACACTTCATATTAGAGGCATGACAAAAAGCCTTCATCATTGCTAAACGACATTGCGTTGACTTGCACCTTGCGATACTTGTCATTGAGTCTTTAATGAAAGTTTTATTTCATCCAATTCTAATTTGTAATATATTATACTTTTTAATTTAGTTTTTATTCTTTTTATTTCTAGTTTTTTTAGTTGAACCTTATATAAAAGTTTTTTTTCTTCCAATTCCAACCTTCAATGCAAGTTTATTTTATTTCAATATTTTTAATTTGATCCTCAATTTATATTTTTGTTTCCCTTTTGTATAAGTGTTATTTCTTTTTAATTTAGTCCTTCGATTTTGATTTGTCATATATTCCTCTCTTTTTTATTTGGTTCATATTATTTGGATTTTGTTTATTTTTTTCCTTAACTCCTTTACAAAAGTTTTATTGGCTTTTTATCTTATCATTCAATCCAAGTTCATGGTATGTTATTTTTTTTAATTTTATCCTTATTATGTTTTTATTTTTATTTTTGTTCAAGTTATTTTTCTTTTTAGTTAACCCTTTAATTGAAAAAATTTAGTTATACTCTAATTTATTTTTTTATTTTAATTCTTATTTTTAATTTTTAATATACTAGTGGCCATATAACAAAACTGAATCCAACCTCTTGGATAATGGAGCCACCATAGCTTGAACACCAAATGCAAACTCATAAAAATGATTCTCCGTCCAATAATGAAAATTCTTAACACCGCTATCCATTAATGAATCCCAGTTACTCATCTCCTGACAATTTCTACCCATAAGATATCATAGACGAAGACTCTGGACACTTTATACTCAAGAAAAGCTCATGTTATTTTTATGGCATCATTTTTTTATAAAAAAATTATCTTTATTATATGTTTAATTTTTTTTTATTACTGTTAATTATACTAATATTTTTTTAATTAAATATTTTAATGTTGGTTCCGAAAACAGAACACACGTTGCTTTTATTGTTTAAATTTAATATCAATTCTAAATAAATATATGATAATAAAAATATGCATAAAAGAGAACTTTGATATCAGCACTGAAATAAGAGATTTATATATATAAAAAAGGATAAATTAAAAAAAAATTATTTCAAAACCGATGCCTAGAATATATATATAAATCAAATTCCCATTTTCTTAACCCATGAGCTTATTCTTCCATTCAACTGAATCCTTTACCAGCTTTTTTGCTTGCTTTCAACTTAGAGGATTAAACCATATCAGAATCACAGTTGACAGCACACTCCCTCTGTTTTTTCTTGAACTGCTAACAGCTTACAAGGAGAGATGTTTGTTTGGGACAAGTTTTTAATTTAATCATCAAAGAAATTTATAAATATTTATTTGTGTTATTTTTTTTATCTATAATTTATTTTTATTGAAATCTAAAATTTTTAAAACTTTAATCTAAATTAAAAAAATATTTTAAAAAACCCTATATAAAATTTTAACTTAATCCGATAACTAAATTAAAAGTTACATGCTATAACATCAAATAATAAATTTGTGATTTTTCATTAAAAATTTAAATTTTTATACAAATCATATCGATTAGCTTACTTAATTTTCAATACCATTTTCTTATCTTAAATATACTTATTTTGTATTTTTTTACTACTTATTTCTTTTACAGACCTATTCCCATTACTCGATAATGTTACTGATTTGTTGTTTTACCAGGGTTTACACCATCAATTAAGTCACAATCATCTACTTAATTAACAACCAATTTTGCAGAAAGCAAAGCAACAAATGCATCCAAAAATCAAGCACACGTCCAATAGAAACAATCTGCTCAATCAACTTTCAAACTAGTCGAATATCATGTAGATGACAACACATTCAAATCTGTAGAAGATGACCTTTAAAACCAAAGATAATGTACACAGCCGCATAATTTAAATTTCAAAATGTATTCCATGTACCGATCATAGATGTCACAAACTAATCTATAAATAATAATACTTCATGCATCCAAAAGACATCAAAGCAATTTCCAGAAATGTTGAAACTCTTTTATGGTGTTAGAGCAAAACTGGTCTTATCTTCCTTTAATTCTACAACCTCTGCTCCCGTCCACAATCCTCTACCCCCTCCTCTTTCTAAAATTTAACTTACCAAAGACAACTACCTCTAATGAAAAACCTCTCTCATTCATTATTTATGTCAGACTTATCTTATACCCTCATTACCATTGAACAATTCATAACAGAAGACAATGACTCTTACCAAGTTAGTATGCATGATAAACAGCAGGAGAGAGCTCGGTTGTGACTAGCAGATGATGCCGAGACATTATTCAATTCACAAGTTTTAAAGATGGGTGACCAAAACGAGCATGTCTTTGGGAAAGTGATACAAGTTCACTAGGGAGAGCAGTAGGACGATTGGTGATTTTGGAAAGTCCAAAAAAAATTGAATAAAAAAAAAACTCTAGAATTATTACTAATTTCCTAGGAAACCACATGCCTAATTAAATAAAACTAAAAAAACCTAAAGAAAATTAACAATTAAATAACTATTACAATTAAAATAATTTAGCTGGGATTTGTGTCCCGCGTCACACCGTCTCGGAGATATTAGGCTGTGGACCGAGATCAATTTCCATGAAATCCATTTCACCTTTTTTGCAAAGCTTGTGAAGGGAATAAAAATCCTGCACATTTGCCCGTCCCCTGAGTTCTTCTTCACTCAAAGTATACTCCTGCATCTTCCAATCAGTTCGCTCTCCTCTTGGTGCACGACCTCTATAGAAAGCCAAGGTCTTTTTAACTCCGACTTTTCGAGAAGTGTACACAACACTGCGATCTCTCCCTGTAGCTTTCCACCACCCCTGTCGGGTTTTCCTATTTGACCTTGCTCCAGTGTGATATCTCCTATCCCTTGGACCGAAGAAGTTCCATTGCCAGCCGCTCTCCAATGGGGATAGCTCAGGGAACTCCTGAGAATCCCACTTGTAATCATCAACATCGCGAATAATATCCAGCTCAAAACGTTTCTCACATATCTTCCTCTTCAAGTAGTAAAGCACAAGCTCCACATCAGTCGGGGCAAACCTAATTTCAATGGCCAAACCTTTTCATCAACACCAAAACAATAATCGTGGGAGTCCACCAGACATTAATTTGAATTCAAAACCTTGAATGCTTCCAACATGATTTATTATATTAAGTAGGGATTCGGGAGGAGCAAATCCCAAATAATATGCACTTTCTTTAGCTAGTGACGCAGTAGCAGAGCTAATCTTTCTTGACTATTTTTTTTTTTAAACAATCTAATGATAAGGATGTAGCAAATTGTCAACATAACATTTTTATCAACATTTTTCTCAACCACCCTCTCCTTTAACAACCACCATCAACCACTTCCAACTACCATTCAACCACCCTCAACCAAGTTGCCAAGGCTCTCCCATAAATAGAGATAAAGAGAGAGCAATGTAATAAGTGTAGTGAAAGTGTGGTGAGAGCAAAAGGGTGAAAGGGTGGGGAGTGCAACTATGAGAGTGAGAAAATGCAGATTTGAGAGAAACACCGGGTTTCGTGGGATTGTACTG